TGCTTCTGAGGAAATAACAGTGAAAAAGCAGTTATACTTACTCTTACAGTAGGGGTCTATGACTAGTTTTGGTCTGTCATGACGAATAGTCAAGGCTAGATATCACCATAACTACTTTTATACAGAAGTAATGCTAAAATACTTGTAGAATAAGTTATTACAGCTGATGCATATTTCCTTGCGGGTATGAATAATTTCGGTCACAACTGTGTATATATGTATGGGAATGTGTATGTGTGTACGTAATAATGATACTAATATTAATGAAGCAGAGTCAATTTAGTAGTTATAGTTACAAAAGTAAGTGCTACATTACATAATGACCATATTAAGTGTCTGATGCATTTATTGCAACATAATATCTAGATGTAGTTTGATTCCAATTATGATGGCGCAATGACCTTTCTGTCTCCTTCTCCCTTTCTCTCTCTCTCTCTCTCTGTTCTCTCTCTCTTTCTCTCATCTCTCTCTCTTCTCTCTCTCTCTCTCTCTCTCTCTCTCTCTCTCTCTCTCTCTCTCTCTCTCTCTCTCTTCTTATATATATATATATATATATATATGATATATATATATATATATAATTCATCTTTGGTGATAAGTCGTGTGAGTGTGTGTCTGTGTTGTCTGTTGATGCTGTGGTGGTGTTGTATTCGTGAGTGTACTGGATACTATTCGAGAATGAGATACAAATATATTGAGTGAAATAAAGTATATTGTGAGACAAGAAGAAGAGATATAGATTAGTGAGTGCATAGGTATACTAATTATGTGATAGTATATATTATATATTATACCATACAGAATGTAGTACTTACACTAGATATGAATAGAATAGATAGATAGATATATAGGACAAATATAGATGTTAGAATAAATAGACAGATGGAATAGCATGTATAAAAATATAGACAGATACATAGATAGATACATATATTCATTACACATACACTATAATAATATACATATACACACACACAGACTCCACACTATACAATACATACACTACATATATTGTATATATATATATATATTATATATATATATATAGATAATTATATTATATATATATAATTATATATATATACATTATTATATATATATATATTTATATATAATAATACTATATGATATATGTTGTGGGTGTGTGTGTTTGTGTGATTATGCTGAGGTAGATTTGTGGTGTGGGAAGTCTTGCCTCTTCGATTTCGTGCGTGTTGGTTGAATGTAACTATTTTTATATTATTTATTTCTATATACTTTTTTATTTGAGTTTATTCTAATATTATTTACTAAGTATATTATTATTTATTAACTTATTATATATATTATGTGTGTGTGTGTGTGTGTGTGTGTGTGTGGTGTGAGTGTGTGTGTGGTGTGTGTGGTGATGCCAAGTTAATTCTCCTCTTCGCTGGACCTTGCTCGAATCTTACTGTGACTACTCTATCTTATCTATCTATCATCTATTCTATCTATCTTATCCTATCAATATCTTAATCTATTTATCCTATCTATCTATCTATCTAAGTTAATACATATATTATGTGTAATAATTATAGTTTTACATATCGTAGTGATATATACATATTTCCGTCATTAATATACCTATATATGGATTGTATGAATAGGATTCAAACCCGGTTGTTTATATCAGATATGTATGTATGTTAATGTATATATGGTATAGGATACGTATTGACATAGTCATATTAGAGAGCGTGAGTCGATTTAATAGATTAGTAGTATTTATGAGAGGAGGCTTGCAGAGAACGAACACTCATCGAGATGTGAAGGCTAATATCTATGAAGTAGTGTGCGACGATAAGCGACTTAGAGAGATTGCTGTGTGTGTGTGTTGTGTGATAGCGATGTGTGTGTGTGATGCTTGTTGTTCGATGTGTGATGGTCAGTTCGTGTTGTGTGTGTGTGTGTTCGAATGTGTGTGTGTGTGTGTTGTGTCTGTGTGGGTGTGCTGTGTGTGTGAGCCCTGTCGTGCTGTGTGGTGTGTGTGTGTGTGTCTAGTGTTTGAGGATAGTGGGTAGATTGTGGTCCAATGATGTTTGATGTCGTGTGGTGCATGTGCATGTATTGTATATGTAATGCGTGTACAGTTGTGTATATGTATGTGTGTGTGTCTTATACATATGTAGATTATTCTTAAATAGCCATGCATTATGCTCATAAACCACGATGTATACATAGATAAGATTATAACCGTTCAAATCGTTTGATAAATATTAATATGTATTATAGTGTATGCTATATTTATAGAAAGTATTTATAGTATATATATATTCTACTATAATTATAGATATTTA